AAGTACGATTATGTAGTGCTAGAGTTGTTGATATTTATAAGGTGTAGGGTGTGTCCATTAGAATGAATGACTGAGGTCGTGGAAAGGAAAATATCACTGGATGAGAAGAATGCAGGAACTGACAGCCCTGCATATTGGAATGATCATCTGTGTGGATTTTGAAACCATTAATTAGGATAGGAGTAGTGTTAATAAGAGTAATAGTGAAGCAAGCTGAATCCTTTGGTAGTGAGGGAAAGTGATCTAAGTTAGTAGGTGACTGCAACAGAACGGGTAGAGGGTTCTAGAGCTTCGTGACAGATTCCAAGCTGTGGGAGAGGGCTTTAGACTAGAGGGAGGGCAGAAAGTCTGGAAGTGGCAGTGAGTATCAGGAAGAACACAGGCTCCATCTCCAGGCCCGCTGGCTGAGTGATGTGGGGAAACCACACATATCTACCACTAAGAGGCCCACAAAGGAAACAGGGTCCTCGTGGAGCTTTCAGGTTTTAGCTAGAGCAAGGAGGTGAAGGTTCCATTCAGAGATGAGATCAAAGCTGTGTGGGATTATGCTACTGAAAGAAAATGGATTCCACGGCACACAATGGAAAGGTTTCAGGAGTTGGGGGCTGGGGGCCAGGGTGGGAGAACAAGACAAAATAGGGACTACGCAGAGCCTTATAGGAATTAAAATGCAGCAGATAAGTGGTGGTGATGTGGGAATTGGGGACTTCTTTTATTGATGACATAAACAGGGATAAAGGGCATAATGAGACCAATCCAGGTGGTGTCAAGTCAGCAGTGTTGTGAGTGATGGGAAGTAGAGAGGAGTAGATGTTTGGGACTGGGCAAGGGGCAGTGTGACACTAAGTGCCCTGGGCCCACTTTTTAAATTGTCAGATGATGCCAATTTAAAAATAGCTTTGTTCTCTGACATAAATAGCACTTTCCATGTGATATATTGATAAGGTCAACCTGTATTATTTTCTTTCCCTATGTATATTCAAGTATTCAAAATGTCCAGTAACATATTAAATAGCAGCTCAAATATTTTTAGAAACT